GGCAAAAGGCAGTTTGGGGCCCTAACCCACCAGCAGCTTATTTATCTTCCTCATTTTGCCTGGGCTGCTCACTGATCCTTCCACCCGCACGTTCACGCTCACCCACGACACGCATCTGCCTCCTGTCTTCGCCTGGAACTTGGTCTTCTGATGAAGAGCATCACTTTTCATGGTGAACCTAAGAAGCTGTCATCTGCTAAGGCCGAATGAGCCTCCTCCGCTCCTTCTCATTGTCTGCAGGGTCCCCTGGCACGGGGCTCCCAGAGGCTCTCTCTCATTCTGGGTTCCAGGACAGACAGACCAGTTACATCTTAACTAACACAGCCTAGCACTTATGTGCCACTTCCCACACCCTAAAAGCCCTTCTAACCAAGTTTCCCCAACTGGGGGAAAAGGTAACTTTTCTTACCTTGACTCCCAGAATCACTGTTATTTGAATAATCCATATATACATGTATCAATTAAAATGCTCGGCACAAGTGCCTGCCTGGCAAGCGTGAAGTCGTGAGTTCAATTCCCGGTACCAAATAAATAAATAAATAAAACAAAATAAAATAAAATGCTACCTGAAAGCCAGGCTCAGTTCTTGATGTTGGATTGTAGTAGGATGAAAAAGCTTGTGCCAAGCAGGCAGAGGGACAGCAGCTTCAAGTTAAGCAAGAAGCTTATGAGAAAGCTCCTGGATGGACATGGTTACAGGAAGCAAAAAGGAAGAGTGAGAAAGGTGCTATGTAACAAGCTCACGGCTGGTGTCAGCTCCTGAGATCAGAATGACTGGTGACAGCTAACGAAATACACCCCTATTTATTTTTAAGCACATTTGTATACAAGAGAGCAGTATTTGCCACGTGGACTTCAATTTCTATGTAAGTTTCTTCAGTTGACTTTTTCTTCACAGAGAAAATGTAGATTTGTGTGTCGGGGGGTGTTTTTACCGCTCTTCTTCCACGGCAGCAAATGGCATAATTTCAGTCTGCCACACAGGAATCCTGAGGTCCCCAACCAATTTCTCCAGGGGCAGCCTTGTACTTTGGATGTTCATAACAGGCCATCAGAACATTGCTCAGGGGACAGCATTTAGGTAATTATCTCCTTGGTGCCAGGAAACAAAGCACTAAGCATTCTACACTCTCAGTTATTTTGCAGAACTCCTGGTCCCTTACCCAGTGCTGCCTCTCCCTGAAGTGGACCCACTAGACAATAGTGGCCACATAAAAACCTCACCCTGGGTTCAATTTAAGACCAGGCAAAGCAGTGTCAACAATCTCTAAAGCAGAAGCTTAAAGCTGTCAAAAGCTCTTTATTCACATTGTAGTTACTCTGCCTTTAGTATAGGCCACCATTTTTTTTTTTTCCAGTAATGAAGACTGAATGCAGGGACTGCACAATGAGCTACATCCCCCAGCCCTTTTTAAAAATTTTGATACAGTGATTCCCTAAGTCACTAAGTTTCCCAGGCTGGGCTTGAACTTATGATACCCCTGCCTCAGCCTCTCACAACCTTTCAAAATCTTCCTACATGGAAGATTTTTCTCTACTCCTTGAATTTCCCATCTGTCAGGAGTATTTCCTCTGCTTCTGGAGAATGCCGCAAGGCAAATGGACCACAAGGCAGCCTAGGAGTGCTCATCCAGTTTCAGCAGCTGCCTTACCAGCCCAGGTCTGCAAAGGCACCATGGTCTAGGGAAATCGCTTTATGCCAGGGGACTTCACCATTCTTGAGTTAGAAAGGAAAATGACCACCAGGCTGTCTTACCAGAGTGAAAGGAAATAATCTACACTGCCGTAATTACTTTATACTCTCTAAGTCCACACCACAGACAGCCAGGGTAAAATCCAAACCTGCCATTTGTTCAGCAGGCTGGAAAACCAGCTGAGAACTTAACCAGAAAGGCAGTGGAATAAATGATAAAGGTACAGGCTGCCTGTGTAACCTAGGGCAGCTCACTAACTTTCCCACTGCTAAAGTTCATGGCTGGACGAGCCGCCTAACGCTTCACGGACTCAAAAGCAGGGCTTCTGAAAGGTGACAGGATTACGGGGCATTACAGCTACATGTGACGTCAGGCCACGCGTCCTGGTCGGAAGAGGTGGACGAGAGCGGCCTGACACTGATGAGTCTCCTCCCGTCCAAGGTCCTCCATCCTCTCTGCTTCGGGAGGCCATAAGGCGAGCAGCTTGCCTTTGCCCAGGTCCTTCCACTCTGCCACTGTACCTCTGAGCTGATCAACTGGGGACTGGAACCTCTAGCCAAACACTAACAATCAGGCCTCTGCACTGGTACAAAAAGCGAATGAGTTCACATAAAAAGTGCTTTAGATCAGTGCCTGGCACACAGTAAACACCATCTAAGCGAGGTTCTTAAATAAATATAGGTTCTTAAATAAATATACTCTGAAAGGGAGAAAGCACGAACACCTGTCCTTCTGCATCAGAGTAGAAAGTTGTACACAAAAATTCACCTTCTTCTGTTTAATAAAAAAAATTTCCAAGATATTTTAGAAAGAAAATGCTAAAATATTATTTAAATATAAATTATAACCATTATTTGGAGGCTTATACTACATCTCCTCCACCCTGAAAATACAGAGGTGAAAATATCGCCTTGTTTTCAGAAGATACTTATGAAGAATTTACCAAGCGTGTGAAAGCATTTTCCAAGTTTGCTGTTTCCTCTGTTCATTTGGAATATTAAGGTAGGAACCTGAAAGTGCAGGTTCTAGGCTTCCCTTTCCCAAAACTAACCCCAAGAGTTTAGCCAGAACACTTTCTTTTCTTTCCTTTGGAAGTCTCAAATTCCCTACTGAAAAATAAAGGGTTTGGACTGAACGTAGGGTCCTAGAAAGTCAAACCACCCAGATTCCCCCCCAGGTATTCTCTTCTATCACCCATCTCATCAAAACTGACCTCTTTCTATTATTTTCTCTTTGCATTATCCGCCTACTCCTTGTCCTCCTCAGGATACGGTATAATTCTTGATTCATTAATACAGTTCTAAATAGGAAGTGTATGGCTTCTTAGTGAAAATCTGCTATTTAATGAGGAAAATTAGAAAACTTTGGAACAACTCATTCCCATACCATATTTATCCCAATTTTTTTCTGTGCTTTTCTTTTTTTTTTTTTTTTGGCTTTTCTCCGGTACCGGGAACCGAACTCACGACCTTGCGCTTGCCAGGCAGGCGCTTTTGCCACTGAGCTAAATCCCCAGCCCCTTTTCTGTGCTTTTCTGGCCAAGCAGTTTATGCCTCCTTCAGTCCACCAAACCCTCTCTCGGGTCATTGTCCTCTACCTTGGGTCCCCTACTTTGGAGAGTTTAAGAGATTATCTAAAGTTTCCCCTTTTTCATTCATTATTCTAGATCAAACTTCTCTGCTGGGCAGTTTTTTCCCTTCTGCACAGTGTATGTCATTCCCCAACCAGTTCAACAGAAGTAAATTGTTGGCGTTGTTTATTTCCTAAGCTAATAGTTCCCAAACTCTAGGATTTTACAGTCTATTGAAATCTTTTCAACTCCCTTCTTCCACTAACAAATCTGAAGACCAATCTGATGCTGCTAAAGCTTCTCTGCCTAGTAATTAAAGTAAAATAATACTACCATACACTGTCACCATCATTTCAGAAAAAGATGTGAATATTAAAGGGCAGGAGGAACATAATCTTAAAATAAAATATACTCCTTAAATATAATCAATTAAAATTAATTTTCTTGCTTTATAAACAACTCTATAATGTTATTTTTTTCTATGTCCCTACAAAACAGAGAGGACTTCAAAGACACACTATTGATGGGCAGTTTAGCGGCAACGTGGTACAAACTACCAAGACGTACCTTATCTGAACCCATTTTAATATAGTTCCCCTCGCCGAATTAAATTTTCTACTTGAATTTCTACTGATGTAACCCTCTTTTTGTGGCTTCTGCTGATACCTGTCGTATTTCTGGCTCAGTAACGTCAACTTTAAACATCTCACGCTTTGAGCTCAACAGCCCACGTGATACAACAGCCCAAGATGACCTGGACGTGCTCTCGGCACAGAAGGGTGCTCTCCACTCCGCCACCCCGCCCACCCGCAGGTTTCGGCCCTGCCCACACGCCTTTCCCCGCCTTTCCCACTCTGGCTCCGCACAAGCTTGCGCCTCTGAAACCCCCATTCGTCTGGGTCACTGATGCTCTGCACTCCACGTGCTGGTGACACTCTTCCTGAAACTTTTCCCTTCTGATCACCCATTTTCCTTAACGTCGACTCTGTAGTACCTTTCTTATGCCTGTTTTTTAAGGAGTAACTACAGGATTATACAGACAGGAAAAAATTCTTTTTAATCCTCTTTCTTGTAAGTCATTTAATTATGTTAGAGTGACCTCCTGAGTTTAAATGGTCCCATTTGAGGTTACTGAAATGAAGCACTTTAGATATGACTGTATACACCTTCAGCTATTACCGCATAAAGTAAAGGAGCCATGTGGATGCTAATCACATTACTTTCTACCTACTTGGAATTCTTTTAGGGAAACAAGAAGTAAATGTCAATTTTGAGAGAAAATAAAATGAAGGAGAAATCCTTAGATTTGCCACACTGAATTTCAATACACTGAAAAAACTGAGCTATATTTCTACTGATCTCGATTATGTCCAATAATCCATTTTGATGAGGGAGATGAAAAATATTTTTAGTTGAACAGAGTCACGTTTATTTTATAGTCTCTTAAACAGTAGAATTTGACATAGAACTGTGTCTTCCCTTGTTTTCTGTCTTACTTGTATCTGTCTTGCCCTGTCAGCAAAAGTCATATATGATTACATAAACATTCTTCTCCAAATCCCTTGCAGGTATCCACCCCGGGCTGTGAGAGGCACAAGGCTATCCGTACCCACATGCGCTGTGTACTAGACAAAGAACTGCAAGTTGGTGTGTATTCTTCCAGACTTTTTCTTGTACATACAGTTAACACACGTTAGTAAAGTACATTTTTAAATGGGAAGGATTCCACCACTTACCAAAATAAGCCCTGATATTAGCGAGGAAGTGCCTGTCAGGGCCACGTAGAACTTCGGTGTTAATGTGTTCAAAAACATGCTCACTGAAAGACACAAAAAAAGAGAACAAAGAACGTGTGAGTGTGTAAGTAAAGCTAATCCTTTGATTTTTCTTTCTGATGAAATCATTTGTTTCTGACAAGAGTTTTTAGAACCATGTAAAAGTCCCATTAAAATGATTAACCATTATCATACAAGCTCAAAAAACTAGATGTCATTACATACACTAGAAGAAGATACGGTGTGCATAGGGAAAAAGGGCAGCTTTGCAGCTTCTAACTCCCACAACTATTGCTTTTCATGGACACACAACCCCTGAATAGTTTAATCAATGTTCACTGTCAGGTACCTTTCTGATCAATTCCTGCCACTCTGATTATATCAGCTTTATAGTTAATAGGGTTGTTCATTAATTATGCATCATATAAATTTAAGAAACTACCCGTCAAAAAGGGTAAGTCCTCCTACATGTGTTTTGTAAGACTGTAATGAGCCAATAAGCCTAATTTCAACCTTAGAACAAGTGGAAAACAATTACATTAGATATATTATACAGCTACCAAATATTATTATACTATGGTTACCCCTACAAAAGGAAACTGGCAAAAATTCTCATGTTTCCTTAAGGTAGAATACTTATCAAAATAATGACTGAATAAAAAAACAAAACACTAAATGACAGGCACTGTGGCGCATACCTGTAATTCCAGCCCTCTGCGAAGCTGAGACAAGAGGATCACAAATTCAAGCTCAGCCTGAGCAACTTAGTGATTCATTGAGATCTTGTCTCAGAATACAAATTAAAGAAGGACCGGAGATGTAGCTCAGTGTGAAGGCACTGAGTTCAAATCAGTCTCCAGTCCTAGAAAAATAAATAAACTACTAAAAATAAATATTCACTCTCAGGTACCTTCCTGATCAATTTCCTGATCACATCAACTGTACAGTTAATTGGGTTGTTCACTCATCATATTTTATAAATGTATTTTAAGTTGTCACTTTTAGTTAGATACTGCACAAAACTCTTATTATTTTCAAAATAATTCAATCTGTTAATATTAGTAACCAGTTAATAATCAAAATAATCTATTCCCAACAATAGCTTCAGTGGGTATTTTGCAAAGACATTCATAAGTCTTTGTAGAAGGGAATCACACCTGGTCTACTTTTAGAATAAAAGTCTTTAGAAAGAGAACCATCCTGCACTCAGCCCAAAAAAAACGAAGTAATGCCACCAAAATGATTGAAGACCACATGTTTACCCATTCAACAAATATATCTCTCTGACTGTAAATGTAACCACGGATAAAGAATGAATCAGACAGCTCTTAACCTGTAAAAGCCCGCCATGCAGTTGGGCAGCATACAGCAAGTTTGGTAACTGCACGGCAGGCCCTGTGTACAAACTACGAAAACACAGAAAAGGGTTACACCCTCGACTAGGAGGTCAGGGGTGATGTCCAAGGGAAGGGGACATTTCAAAGGAAGAATAAGCCGGAGCTAGCCAGACTAAGAGGTGTATGAGGAGGAATGAGAAGGCAGCCTGAGCACAGGAAGAGATCTACCGCAAGGTGCGGAGAGCTCAGCCTCTCTAAGCAGATGCAAATGCTGATGCAAAGAGCTTGAGCTGCAGCCCCTTTGCAGACTTAAATGTAGAGGAGCACGTGGACTCCACGAGTTCTAGCTGCTCAGGCGTCCCCCCCATCAGCCTTCCTCCCTTGCATCCGCTCTCAAGTGAGCGCGCTGGATCGGGGCTGTCACTGCAGTCACAAGAGGCTGAACTAACGCGGTGTTCAGTCCACGTTCAGAACTTCAAGGAAACAGACTCTTTTGGGGAAGTGGCGATCCGCCCAGGGCCTGAAGACAAGAGGGGGAAGGTACAGTTGAGTTGAGAATGATTAGTCTGGCCATTAAAAAAAAATAGTGATTTGTTGCTTCCCAAGCAATAGTCAATTACTGAAATGAAGAGATTTTAGAAAGAAAAACATTCAAAACTCCTACAGTTTAAAGTTTCAAAATTCCTAAACTTTTCAAAATTCCCTTCTTCATGTTATGAATGACGCTACATCCCCCACTATTACAACAATATCACCAAACAGAACACTTGCTTTGCTAGTCTAGTATTATGAACATTCATATCGATCCCATATCCTTTTCAGTAGGTTTCTGGAAAACTGGGCATAGTAATCAACGAAATACATTTCTAAAAGAAAAAGGGAAAGATTTGTTGAACGAGAAGTCCTTTAACAGCCCTACTAACTCCCTAGCAACAAAAGCAACAGTAAAGAAGAAAAGTTTTCTGATGAAAATCATTGATCCACTAGGAATAGACTGAAAAATTCATTGATAAATGAAAAAACTCATTTCAGGTTTTAAAAACATAAACATATTTCATTCACTTATTTTATTTAAGATTACAGTGCAACAGCAATTAATAGTTAAAATGTATTTCTTGTTACATCCACTTATAAAAGGATGGCTGGAGTTGAGCAAGATAATGATGTATACTGAGAGAAAGAAATAGAGACACAAAAAGAGAATAAAAAATGCAGCAATGGAAATATCCAGAGAGTGAGAGGTACCATTTCATAACTAATTAGTCTTATAATCTTATTGGCTATTTTGGCTAAAAATACTTGGCAATTCTGGATATAAAGAATCAACAGTACTTGTCACTTCAATCCACTTATCTATGTTTAAAGTTTGTAACAAAAGCATTTCCACATATCAGAGAATTTAGTTTCCACTTCAAGTCCATGATGTCGTATTATAATTCACCTGTTCTGCAGCTGGGGGCTGGATGAAGGCCTAGACACAAGTCGGCCTGCCCGGCCTGCCCTTGGCATCATAACCAAAGAACAAAAAGAAAATAGTAGCCTTTCTTTAGAGAGGGAGCCTCAAATAAATGACAACGTAAGATAGACATTTTTAAATACTGCTCTTATTTCTTCCCTGATATTTAAAGGGAAGCCTGCTGTGACTTTGTGTGTGAAGCACCAGGGTGGACAAGCAGGAAGCTATACTGAGAAAGGGGAAAATCAAGTTACAACCCTCATTAAATTAGGAGGGCAGGAAACTGCAGCCTAGACTATCCTAAACCAGAAATGTCGTGCACAGTTTCATCAGAGACTAGAAATAAGTTTTTCAAACATACATGGGCTTAACAAAGTACCCAAAAATTGTATGCGAAAATGGCTGGGTATGTGTTTAAACTATAAAATAGATATTCTTGAAATTTATAGACACAGCAGTGCTACGTCCATACCTGCTGGGGCTGTATAGAACACATCCAAACAGCAAATAGATAAGGACTACTAATCTAGATTTGTGAGACATAAATTGATAAAACTTAACTAAAGCACTGTTCAAATCCAGAAATAAAAAAAAGTCATAAACAGAAAGCTTTCATTTCTCAGCAGGCACTTCCAGCGGGTACCTGCTAGGACAGCTCTGTGTCGTGGATCAAGGGTAGTCTCGGGGCAGCAGGATGTAGAGTTCTGCACACAGTGAGCTTTGACCTTGCAGAGTCTCATCACTTAATTAATGAGGAAAGGCGAAGGAATTTACGCGACCCCAGGGAGGAACGGGGCAAGAGCAGTGGTATTGGGTTGAAACTTAAAGGACGTGGGAATCAGATTACGGAAGGCTTACTCAAGAATTACAGGGAGCAGCTCGTGCATCTATGAAGAGCTGGCCGTGTTCTGGTTTGTTTTTCATTCTTCCTTTTGTGATGTGGCATCTTACGTAGCGTGGAAAGCAGAGAAGACTTGGCTAAGTACATAATAGCAGCAGCAGCAGCCGTCACAGTAGCGTTCACTGGGCATCTCCCAGTGCCAAGCATGATGCCGCAGCCTGCAGTCCAAGAGGTAAACACTTGGACTGTGACGTGTCCTTATGCTAAACCTGGACGGTCCACACAGCACATGAGGTGGTAATCAATAAAATGGGCTCTTTAGCCAGATCACTGCTGCGTAAGGTACTGCTGAGTTGAGGGTGAAATGTGAAGGCAGTCATTTTAAATGTGAAGAAATTACTGTCCTTGAAGTTGACCGGATGACACTTGTTATGGTTTGTGTCTGGGTGTCCCCCCAAAGCCTCATGCGATCATGGGGCAGGCTGTTAGAGTTTGATTATGATGGGTTTGAGAGCTGCACCCACCCTGGAGTGGATAGTTTGCATATGTAAGGGAGAGGAAGAAGTGCCTGAGGGCATTCCTCCTCCACCATTTCTCCCCCATTCCACCCCGGTGTAAGTGAGTTGTTGCTTAGCTGTGGCTGCCGTCCTGAGATGCAGCCCTCTGCCACGTGCCACTCTGCCTTATGATCTCCCAAGTACAGATTGAAACTTCCACGAACTGTAAGCGAAATAAACCTTTCCTTCCTTAATTTTGGGCATCAGGTATTTTGTCCCAGCAGCGAGAAAAAAGTAACCAAGACAACACTAAATCCCTGACTGTCTCTTCACTTGATGTGAAACCACCTGCAGTCCTTGTCCTTAGTTTTCTTCAAGTTCTGTGACTGCTGACAGATTAAAGCCTAACCCGTAATTTCAAGCATACCAGCTTTAACTGCAAGAGATGATCACTGAAGGCCACAAGACCCGCAGGCCCAAACAGCAGGGCAGCAAGGTGGCAAGGAGACTGTCATTCTGTGCAGAGCAGTATTTCTGACCTGTCGCAGAAAGCGAGCACAGTTTCTTGTCTACAGAAAGCACACTGAGGCATGCGTTAGTCCAGCGGGGACCTAGTCTCACACTGCTTCCTCCAATGTCCAAAGCAAGAGGAAATGCAATGGAACAATTTAAGCCATCTAAATTTTCCCATGTGAGAAAGGAGGAAATATCCTCTCCTCTCTTTTCACTGCCTTTTCAAGCTTGCTAACTTCCATTAGCTAAGGATGCAGTTTCACCTCTGCCTTTCTCTGTTTACCAAATGGCAAGGGAGGGAAAAACAGAAGTTGGAGTTGCTTCGGGAGCACACACACTAACTTGGAACAATTTTTCAGATTGCAGGGCTTTTACAATGAAAGAATTTACTCTCTTCCTC